AGACAGGGTTTCTCTGTGGCTTTGGAGCCTGTCCTGGAACTAGCTCTGTAGACCAGGTTGGTCTTGAACTCACAGAGATCCGCCTGCCTCTGCCTCCCGAGTGCTGGGATTAAAGGCGTGCGCCACCACCACCCGGCCTCTCTGTTGGTTTTTGATGGGTCCACCACGCAGCTCCCAAATAAATCACACGCAGAGGCTTATCCTTAGTTTTAAATGCTAAGCCGTAAGTTGGCTTCTTTCTTGTCAGCTTTTCTTAAATTAGCCTGACCACCTTTTGCCTCTGGGCTTTTATATTCCTCTATTTCTTTTTTTAGTCCTTTCTCTGCAGCTTCCTGTGTAACTGGGTGACTGTCCCCTGTCATCCCCCTTTTCTTGTTAGCTTGCTGCGCCCGCCCCCCTCCTAGATTTCTCCTTCTGTGTATCCTGTCAGCCTGCCAGTCCTGCCTATCCGTGTTCCTGCCTTGCTATTGGTCATTCAGCTCTTTATTAGGACCATCAGGTGTTTTAGACAGGCAAAGAATCATAGCTTCACAGAGTTAAGCAAAATCCTGCCCCAGCTTCCTCCACTGTCTTTATCCATAGCAAAATAAAGAGAAAGCAGTGCTGGGTCAGCACTAGGGAAGGGGTGTGTGTGAGCGCAGAGGATTTTTCTTCTCTGTTTTGGAGAAATGGTCTCATACTGTAGCCAAGGAAGGACTGGAACTCACTAGATAATCCAGGCTAGCCTCCAGCAGGCAGCAATCTTCTCAAACAGGATCCATCACAGTTGGCAAGGTCACCTATTGTAGTGTACAGATCTAAAGGTTTGGACATACAGTCTTGAGTCACCCCAAAATCAACATACACTCCAATCCCCCAGTGCAGCTCTCCATGACCTCCTCTCTCTGAGGATTCTGGAAGCCAATGGTATGTGTTCTGGTGCTGGAGTGTCGTGGGGCACCCAACAGGAAGGACACCTCACACATGGGTTTAAGACAACAGAAAGTCTCTATTAGCCAGCCAGAGACCCCCAGACATTTAGGATCCCGGAGTAGCCCTCAGCATTCCTCAGGGTGAGCTTTTAAGCACAAAAACCATATTCTGGGTGACCATATTCTTTAGTGTTCATCAGAAACAGAACTGCAGAAGACAAAAAACAAGGTGGGTACAGTGAGGGACGTCCCCAGAACTATGGATCTGAGGGATTAGGTCTTTGCTTTATTTTGGAAGGTGATGCTGTCTCCATGCTGAGTTTTATATAAGCTGAATGGAATTTCCATCATGGAGTCAGTTCTGCCAAGGTCTGGGGCCTGCATTAGAGGAGGAGCCAGAGAGGGCACTGGACCCTCTGGAAGTGCAGTTACAAAAGGTTGTGAGCAGCCATGTGGGTGCTGGAAATCATGCCTGGGTCTTCTGGAAGAGCAGCCCATGTTTTACCTGCCGAGCCGCCTAGAATTCTGTCCTTCCGTTTCCTGTCCCCGTGGAGCTGTCTCTGCAGCAGTGTCACACACAGAATCACGCGTGTGCCCCGAGGCTTCTCCCACCTGCTGAGACTCCTCTGCT